AGATGCGGGCCGCCACATTGATTGGCAGTAGGTTTCTGCCAGCTACCAGAAATATTGTACAGCCCTGGCTCCTATCACCCCAGCGTGAGAGCGCCTCCCACACGTAGATTAATTATCCCCATCAGACGGGGACCCCGTTGTCTCCCTTCTACATGCAACTCCGTTGGCATTAGTGAGGTTTGAACTTGAGATCTTCAAGGGAAGACCTCCATGTCTTGAGCTAAAGGTCTTGGGATACTGACCTCCTTGGTAAAGTGCTTTGAGATCTACTGATGAGAAGTGCTAGATAAGAGCTGTGTACGAGTAGGTCATCACTGACACACACACACCCTACCTAACATGGGTTAGCTAATTCACAGTAAAATTCGAGTGGAGACCAGTTTCTGTCACCTTTCCCGCACTGTAGCTAGGTGAGGCCAACACTGCTGCCCACGTGTGATCTCACCTCACTCCGTAGCGTTGTCTCCATTAGCGTTTTATAGCACAGTAGCTAAATCCATGGTGTGTGTTCGTGTGTGTGTTGGGGAAACGGCAAATCACTCCTTTTTTGGGCAGTGAAGACATGGTCTAAGTCTGTAAGCCGGTGGCTGTGCTCCATGGGCCACCCGTAGCTGGGGGGAAACATGACACTTTGCCAGTGTCTCACCTACCACCCACCTAGCTCAGGTGGGAGTTGAGATGACGTCACGTACCCAAGGTCCCAAGGTGACAAAACTCAGATCTCCCACGTTCCAGGCCAATGACTTGGCCACAGGACCGGCCTCTTGCAGTCTGGCCTAGATGGGACTGAAATGGGGAAAGCGCCCCCTAGTGCTTCTAAAGGAGCTTTTTAGTCAGCTTTAGGTGACAAAGTGGAAAATCTAGAAGGGGGGGAAATGAAGGGGGTTGAGGAAGGCTGCAGTGAATTTGCAGGTCTCATGCAAATGCAAACACAAAGACACAATAATGACTGGTTAACTGCACAGCGGACACTGGCAATAGAACTTGGAAGGGAAGCTGATCAAAAAAATCATTTTTTCCCCTGTGCAAAACTTCAATTTTCATTAGAAAGGTGAAACTAAACAGTTTTGGCCAAACCCCGAAATATTTCAAATGCTGCTGCTTTGCCTGATGGGAGTTGTAGTTTGGATGCCTTAAATTCCAGGCTCCCTGGTCACACTACAAATCCCTTTATGCACCATGAATCCCTCCTTCATCAGGGGAGTCCCTGGCCATGGTGCATTGTGGGAGATGTAGGCAGATCAGGAAGCCTCACCCATAGAGAATATAGACAGGAGGCAACCGAACTACAATTCCCATGAATCACTATGGTAACGTTGCCAAATCCAAATCATTTTGTTTTTGGGATATTAATTTTTTCGATGACAAATCAAAGTCTTCTGCACAAAGCAGCCACTTTTCCTGAAAAAAAAAGTGATTTAATCAAAATCCCAGTTTTCCAGCAAAATCTGTTTTTGATGGGAAAAGTTTTTTCCCTAATTAGAACTTTAATCTCCAAAAGGCCATTACTCATTCATGTACCGCGTGCTGGGTAATCACATGAGGACTTTGTGTAAAACTAAACTTAGCTCCCTCCCACTGCACCGCTGACTGGGATCCGCAGAGGTAAGCCCACGCCCCAAACCCCTGCCCCAGCCCTGAGTCCCCCTCCAAATCCAGAGCCCCCTCCTGCACCCCAAGCCCCTGCCCCAGCCCAGAGTCCCCTCCCATACCCTGAATCCCTCATCCCCAGCCCCACCCCAGAGCCCTCACCCCCTCCCACACCCCGAATCCCTCATCCCCAGCCCCACCCCAGAGCCCTCACCCCCTCCCACACCCCAACCCCCTGCCACAGCCCAGTGAAAGTGAAAATTTGCCTAATTTGATTTAATTTGAAAACTGGACACCGTCAAATTAGGCCTGAATAAAGACTGGGAGTGGATGGGTCATTACACAAACTAAAAACTATTTCCCCATACTAATTTCCCCCCCTACTGTTACTCAGACCTTCTTGTCAACTGTTTGAAATGGGCCACCCTGATTACCACGACAAAAGTGATTTTTCCTGCTGCTGCTAATAGCCCACCTTAATTGAATTGTCTTGTTAGAATTGGTAAAGCAACCCCCATTTTTCATGTTCTCTGTGTATATCTATCTTCCTACTGTATTTTCCACTCTTTGCATCCGATGAAGTGGGTTTTAGCCCACAAAAGCTTATGCCCAAGTAAATGCGTTAGTCTTTAGGGTGCCACACGTCCTCCTGTTCTTTTTTCAGTTAGACTGTGAGCATGTAGGCGAGACCCACCAGTGAGACCCCTGGGAAAGAATTCTCTGTAGTAACTCCGAGCCCTCCCTGTCCAGTGTCCCATCTCCAGCCACTGGAGATATTTGCTGCTACATACCATTGTGGGCAGTCCCATCGTCCCATCCCCTCCATAAACGTCTCAAACTCAGTCTTGAAGCCAGGCTTACTCCCACGGCTCCCCTTGGGAGGCTGTTCCAGAACCTCACTCCTCTGATGGTGAGAAACCTTCGCCTCCTTTCAAGCCTCAACTTGCTGTTGCCTGAGGCTCTTTTATCCCCTCCTGGTCCTGCCCGGGGCCCCGCAGTCCAGGTGTGCCAGCTGTTTGCAGTGACTCCACAGCTCCCTCTCATGACCTGGCTGCGTCCCCCTGCAGTGGGCACTGCTGCCATTTGCCCTGGTTTCCTGTGGCTAGTTGATGGTGGGACCCCGACCTGCTCACCTGTGGGTAGCGGCCTCAGGTCTTTGGCATCTGTGTTGTAGCCGCTGCCTGCTTCGCTCGGCGTTCTCCTCACAGCGGCTGTGTCCTCGGCCGGGCTGCAGCAGACGACCCCTCATGGGTTCTCCGGCCCATCAGTCCCTGTGCTGGGCTACGGTCTCGTCCCCGGGAGGGTGCTGGGAGGCGAGGAGGGGAGAGCAGGGGGTGGCAGGTGCTGAAACCAGCCGAGCTAGGATGGAGCAGAGAGCGGCCTGGGAGCTGCCTCTCTCACCGAGACGTTGGGCAGGGGGGGTTCAACGCGCCAACACCCACAGTGACCCACGGCACAGCACCCAGAAGGGCCCCACAGCACTGCCACCTGGTGCTGCCAGGTGAGGCCTAGGAGTAAACTTCCCTTGTAGCCACTGGGGGACCATGTTGGGACCCAACTGAGGGGATTTCAAAACTGCCATTGGGTCATGTCCCTGGGGCACCCCGAGGGTGGGGAGCAGGGTGGGGGCAGGATCCCAGTCAGGATTTCAGGGGGTGCTGCATGTTCTCAAAAGACAGAGGGGGTCACCTCAGAGGCACAAACCCCCACACCAAACAGGAGAGCGAGAGACATCCCACCCCCCGGGAGCGAGAGGACTGGCAAAGGGTTGGTTGGGCAGGCGAGCCTAGGCAGCGCTAGCGTCACATACAGGAGGGAGGGGGAGGGAACGGTCAGGAGCGGGGGCCATTGGGACTGGGACCTGAAAGGGGAAATCACCACGGGGAGACTCTACACACAAGCCCAGCGTGGCAATGAGGCAAGTCACCAAATACAGAAGGCAAGCTCCGGAGAGCCCGTCCCCCCACACGTCACCCATCGGCGAACGGGAACGGCGTCGGGCGGCTCCTACTCTGAAGCTGGCATGGCGCTGTCTGTGACCGTCACTGGGGGGGTCTGGGCATTGCTGCTTCTCCCCTCCCCCTGCGAAAGCAGATAAGGACCGAGCTTCCCATGGTTGGCGCGGGATGCACAAAGCAAGAGAGACCAAGGTCTCTTTTCTCAGCGCAGGAATCCTGGAGCATTTTGGTTCGCACATCACAGGAAATAACAGGGGGAAGAGACACTCCCTGATCAGCACCCCGATCCAAACACCCCACTGCTCTCCGGCCAAGGGGGTGAAAGCAGCATCTGTCGCCATCCACCGCAGGTGCGGGTGCTCGCTGCTTCAGGAGAACAGGCCCGAAGAGCTCCAAACCCTACTGCAAAGGCCCATCGCCCGCTCCCACCAACAGAAAAAACCCATAGCGCTTGGTTGTAAAGTTGCATACATTTCCTTATATTTGCATGAATAGAGCACAAATCATCCGATGCTTTACTGGACAGGCTAAGCTAACCGGGGACTGAAGCCAGGACAAAAGCAGGCTTGGAAACACTTCAGCGGAGGGGGCTACTTCTCCACACACACACACCACCGTTGGGTTTCACAGGAGAGGCCCCTGCTCCGTTCTGTGATATTACAAGAAGGCCTGGAGTCGCCCACTGAGATGAGGGCCTAGGCTCTGCTAGACACAGAGACAGTCAATCCCCTGCGAACCCCCCAGTGTCAATAGACAGGAGAGACAGGAGGAAGGAAGCGTGGAGATCCTCCAAGCACTAGACCCCTGCTGCCTTCCCCCGCCAGAGCTTTTCCCAGTTACTGCGTGGGAGGTGGGTCCGGGATCAGCGCGTGCCGCCCAGCGCCTCTCCCCCTCTTGCATGTGTCGCTAGAGAGCAGAACAATCCTGGTCACAGCTGCCCAACCAAATCCGGCAGCGAATTCTCTTTTCCTCCCCCTGGCCCCTGACATTTTTGATTTTTGGGGGTTTTTGATGATTTCCCCTCTGAAGAGCTTCTCTGAACTTAAAGGGGAACTTTCCCAGAATACAGGACCCTTTTGGGCTGGTCTGCCGGGTCCTTTCATGTCTGAGGGTTGCTTAGCAGCTCTGGGAGACGGTTTCCATGGTGTGAGTGCTATAAACAGCAGGGGGGTGGAACTCGGCACAGATGTCTAATTGCAATTAGCCCTTTGATGTAGTAACAGCAAGACCAGGCTCCCAGGAACAGAACACCTTGGGGCTAGCTACCCTCATGAACACCCACTCCTCTGCCATTCACCTCTACAGGGAACCACCACCGTGTGAGCATCTTCGGGCCAAACTGAGACACACTCATTGTCCTTCCCGGTAATTCCCTGCTGCTGGACTGTGTCCTTCTCTTCCTTGGCCAAGCAGGGGCATAAGGGGGAAGAGGGTAAGACCTTCCAGATCTCGGGTCGCCCCTCCCTAGACGTTACCCCTATAAGCAAGAGGGGACATGCTCCCTTTCAGGGACTGCAGTAACTTACTGCTCTGGGGGGCACGTAAGGCTGGAACCAGACTCCCGACTCCGATTCCTTCTTGAGGTTGCACCTGACGGGGCTTAGCTCCGCCCTGCAGCACGTGCCAGTCAGGCCGAGCTTCAGGGCCTTCCCCACGGCCAGGTTCTGCCACCCTGGCTCTCAGTGGCACTTTGCTCCGAGCAATCCTAGTGATCCCAGCGGCAGAATCTAGCCCTGACTCCTTAACCTGGTCAGTTTGTCCCTCTTTAATCTCACTTCTGCCAAGTCACCCTCAGCTCCCTGGATCTTCCTCAACACCTCCCCCAGGTCTCAACCAGATGAGCCCTGGGAAGAGCCTGCTGCGAGTGCGATATTTTGTGCTGCTTCACGTGTAGCTTTGCCCCTGCGCCTTTCCGCCGTGCGGTATTTGGCACGCGGGGAGATTTTACTTTTATTTCTCCAACGGGATCCAGACTGTTCTGCGGCAAACTGCAATCTGACTGCCGTTTACTCAGCCAATTTCTACCGATCAGTGAATCCCCAGTACCCTCAGTCAGTCAACTGTAAATCAGACACACTCCTATCTTCCTCTCCTCCGCCTATAGTTCCCCTCCCCCCAAGCCACAGCACCATCTGCTCCTATTCCTACTTCAGAAAACTTCCCTTCCTCCAACGATCACAAAGAGAACAGGCCCCCGGATCCGATGTCTCAGTCACGTGTGCATCGACCCTGCAGGGCTAGCATTATCAAACGGAATAATAGATAAATAAATACATGGTGCATCCAAGTCCCTCCCAGCCCACGGCCCTGCCGCATCACGCAGCCAGAACGGTGCCTCCATCCCCGGGGAGCCCATTTTCCAACGTTGCTTCTTCAGTCATGCAGCTAGCGGGCCAGGCTCAGACGTGAGTGTTTCCTTCTCGGCGCGGGTCATTCTGCACCGGGGCGCGTTGCCTCTCGCCACCATCCTGCTCCGCGGTTGGTGACGGGACGCTGCTCCTGCTGGAGGACAGTGCACCAACCATGGAAAGACGAGCTCCATCTGGTTGGCTAACGTCCTCTCGCAGGGGGGGAGAGCCGTGCTGTGTTCTCCCCCGGCCCGCCTTAGCCCGCACGGCCCTTTGCTTTCGCAGGCGCCAGCGCTGAAGCTGCATGTCCTGTTCCCTCCCAGAGTCCGCTCCTCCGCCTTCACTCGGGTTCCTCCTTCCCAAAACAGTTGCTGAGGGCTTCACACACGAGGTTCCGAAACAACAGGGTGGGGTGGGGAAGCGTCACGAGGCAGGCTCCAGAGCTGGAGAAGGTGTCTTCTTCCATTCGGGTTCGTGGGTGGAACGGAGACCGTTCGGCTACAGAGTTTGAGTGGGGCACACAGTGCACTTCAAAGCCCTTGGTAAGCGCTGATACGCCACCACATCTGGTTCCTGTGGGGAAAGAGAGAAGGCCTGAGTGCCTGGCCAGCGTGCCTCCCCCCACCGCCTGTGTCCTAAAGCATCGGCATGAAATGACTGATCAGACGGGCCCAGATTCTCCGCTGGTGCCAAACAGCACCTCTCCCCAGAGCTACACCGAGTTACCGCGGCTGATGACCTCGCCCCTCGCAGTACGCCCAGTCCCACGTTCCCAGGAGTGGCCCTTTTGATTGTTCTCTTTCTCTTCCCCACCCAGAGGTGCTGGAACTTGGGGGGGCTGCCGCACCCCCTGGCTTGAAGTGGTTTCCATCATATACACGGTTTACAGTTTGGTTCAATGGCTCTCAACCCCTCTACCCCCATCCTAACCTGCCTGTGAAGGAGATGGGGTGATCGGCCAGGTGGGATGGGAGGGTCTGTTCTCTTCCCTCCCGCCATCCGTCTCTCTGCAGTCGGTGGAAGCTGTTGGAGTTCAGCACCTCTGAAATGCAGGCGCTGCTGGCCAGGTTTTCAAGAGTGCCCCACCCTCAGCCAGCAGGGAGGGGAGTCTCCATTGTTCTCAAGAAGCGAGGAGACTTCTCCGTTTTCCCAACAGGGGCTGCCGAGCGCGGAGCTCTCTTGAAAATGCAGCACCTCCCACTGGGACCCAACACCTGCCCCGTTTCAGGACAGGGGCCACTTCTGAAAATGTGGGTCTAAGGTCTCGTCCGACTTCAGCGCAGCAGCGGGTTGAGGAAAGGACGGATTTGCAACCAGTTCAGTTAAACGGGTGCTAGCTCCCTGTGTGGACACTCGTAATCTGGTTTGTAGTGAGTGAGTTCATCAGTTCCTCATCCAATTCAGCTAAATCGACAAACCGGATTTAAAATGAATTAAGAGCATCCACTCAGGGGCTTGCATTGGTTTAACTAAATTGGTTTTTCAAGTGGTTTAAATTAAGCCACTGTGACTTTGGCTACAGACAAGGCCAGTCCCTTGAGATGTGGCCCTTTGGAGGAGGCAGTTATCCTAGCAGATAGAGACCTGGGTTGGGACTCAGGAGACCTGGGTTTTATCCCTGGCTCTGCTACTGGCCTGCTTGGCAAGTCACTGCCTCGCTCTGTGCCTCAGTTTCCCCATCCGTGAGATGGGCACAAGGATCCTGACCTCCTTTGTAAAGTGCATTGAGACCCATGGACGAGAAGAGCTAGGCACTAGGTCATTATTCCCATGCTGTAAAATGTCCAGTTCTGGGTAAACAGCGGCAGCTGCGGAAGAGCATCTCAACCCCTGGATGCGTTATCTGAGTCTAGCTCACTCTCCAAACCTTTCCAGGTCCTCCCATGCCCCGCGCTCTCCCTTGGCCACTTCTTTAAACACATGGACAGAAAGCAGCGTCCCCCTTACCTGGGGGCCTATGTGACCTCCTCGGATGTATTCTCGGGAGTCCTGTGGACCTTGTCGTAGATGGTGGTGATTAGAGGCTCTTTCTGTGGGCTCCGCTCCGTGTTATTTTCCAGGTGACGTAGGGCCTGAATCAAAAGCAGACACGTTTGTTATTGGAAGGACTTTGCAAGCCGTTTTCTCTGCAGATGAATTTGCTAAAAATTCTCCCCCCAAATCAGCAAGGATTGAATGTGCCAAAGCACAGACGTCTAGCACCTGAGCTAGCAGAGCAACTCCATTAACTGGTAACACTTGTAGGTTGTTATCCTCTAGGCAGACCAGAGTGGGACATGACACACAGTGCTGTTACCTTCGCAGCAGTGGACATGGCTTCATCTCACCCCTCCAAACTCAAACCGCTACGCTAAATGAGGAAACCCTGGTAGGAACATTGTTTGTCTGAAGTGTTTGGTCCTCAGTCCTTGCAATGGGTTGATGTGTCTGTAACAACCCCACCATGGTTCCTCAGCATGGATAAACCCAGCACCTTCAGCCTCAAGAAGCACAAACCACATCGACTTGAGCTAAAGGAACAACACTGTTAACCATCAGCAGTAGTAGGTTGTTATCCTCTCTGCATACCAGTCACTAGAGGGACACATGGCACACTTGGGCAGCTGGGGTTCATGTTCACGTAACAATGTCTTGGTGCAGCATGCCAACCTGTGGCTGTACCAGTGCATTCTGGGATCCTGGAGCCACTGATCCCATAGTGCCTTATACTTCTGCTGTCAGCAACGACTACCGGGTAGTTTCCAGCCTGCATTGCGGGACAGGATGCATCTGAACCCTTGGGACTCCTGGCCTCTGCGTCAGTGTATAGACAAAGACGTGTGTGTGTGTGTGTGTGTGTGTGTGTATAATAAGAGAGAAGTGTGTGTGTGT